TGTCCTTGTCAAAACTTGGGAAGGACTAGGGATGTAGCTCCAGGAAGCTGCCCACCTATAACTGAATTGCATCTCTTCTTTAATAAACTATTATAATTTAAAAAGATGAAATATTATAATTTATTTTTCATTATAAACACATGTAGCTTTACAAATTATGTCTACATTTACACACATATATAAATAAGACTTTTCCATTCCTTCATTATCTTTCCACAGCCTGTAGAAACACCTAAGTGATAATTTTTTATCCATTAGCCATATTTTTAAAATTTGTCCATATTTTTTTGTCCACATTTTAAAAATTTTAGCCCCCTTCATAGCTGTGTGAGTTAGAGACTTATTTTCTCATTGGACAGCAATGGGAACTGAGGCTCAGAGAGGTGAAATGATTTGCCCAGGGTCACACAGACAGTGCTTGCCAGCTTGTGACTCCAACCTAGTCTATGCCACTGGAAAATCAGTGCCATTTTGCGCTTAGCCTATTGCTAGTATCTCTTTCCACATCCTTCTATCCTTTATTTCCAAGTGTTCAGAGATGGTAGCATGACAATTATTGCCCACTAATGAAGGTAAGCACCAGGCCTCCAGGAGCAGAGAAGGGGCAATGGGACCCCTACCCTCTCCACCTTCCTTCATTACCCCCCCATCTCTGTGTATCTCCCCTGCTCTTTTGTGAGGAAAGAGGCTTCCTCACCCCATCCATTAGACTGATACTGACAAGAGCGTGTACAGCTACTAAAATCTAATCCTGGGGAGCAAGGAGAGCCCACAGTGCAAGGGGGAAATTGGTCCCACCCAGTGGAAATAGTTCTCACTGAAAATCAGGAGAGATCATCATTAGTTCAACAATGTTTACTGAGCACCCACCATGAGCCAGATAGTAAAAGGAGCAAACTCAGGCCCAACTGCTGGCTGGGGAAGAATGTGCATTTCAGCTAGGAGTTGGGCTCACAGCAGCAGACCTAATCGTGTGCAAGTCACCTGGGAGCATCATGAACAAAGTGTTGGTGAACAAGGTAAAGGAGAACTGGGAAGTGTTTCAGTATTGAGTAGCCTGGTCGGACATTCGGGAACCAGCCTCTGATCTGTCTTGGGAAAGCCTTTTCCCTGCATGATCTCACTTCTAAAAGAAGATATTGTACTCAAAGGTTTCCAAACTTGGCATCACTGAGAAGATGGTTTATTGTTTGTTTTTTCTTTTCCTTTTTAACTGTGTAGAATCCCAACACACCGAGAGATTCAGGCTATCAGACTATGATGGATCCAGGGCCTAGGGATCTGTATATTTTAAAGCACCTAGGGAATGCAGGTGTGCAGCCAGATTTGAAGTCCTGAACCAAATGGCTGGGTGTATGTACTCTAAGGACATCATAGACCTCACAATCTCTGTGAAATTGAAATTATTCACCAATGCAGGAACATTCTTCATTCCTGGGTTTTCTTTAACAAGAGTTAACCGGTCCAGAGTTTGGTAAAACACCTGGCCCAGGTCTTGGCGCATCACTGGAGCTCACTATTACCTTCTGATACCACCTTACAGTCCTAACATCAAATAGTACTTCTCTGGGATAATGAACACAAGACAAAGACCTTTGAAGAGGAGCAGCTAAATCTATAAGGGCTGCAAAAGGAAGAGAATAAAGAATTGGTTAAGTGGTTACCCTGCCGAGAAAGAGAAAGGACTCTAAGCCATAATTTAGGCAGGCCAATTTTATCAACGTGGTTCACAAAATATGCATGCAATTAGCCGAGATGATGAAGAAAGGCCGGACTTCAGTATCTCCATAATGAGCGCATCCTATACTGGATGAGGTCTGATTTCCTCCAGGTCGGGGGTGAGGGAAGATAGTGATCCTTGAGTCTCATGGGCTCCAGGCAAATGGGCAGTACGGAGGCTTCTGCCCCTTTGCACAAAGCTCTGACATGCTACCTCTGCCATCACATCATCTGTGTATGAGTCAGACATCTTTGTCTCATTCATCACCTCAGCTTTTACAAAACTGAGATTGCATTTATAGAAATAAAAGTAGAGCAGAAGCAGAAATGCCAGAGATCACACACCACATACAGATTCATCAATGAAGGGGTGGAATGATCACTTCCCCCTTGGTCTCCCGTGAACCCCTCCCCACCATGACTCCTTCTTCTCTTCTCTATTCTGTTTTTACTGAATGTATTACCACATGACACATCATCTCTTTCACTGTTGGTTGTTTTCTGTACATCATCTCTTCCTGACTAAAATGGAAATTCATGGGAGCCGGGACTTTGGGCTTACAGATGTTGCTTCATGTTCTTACCCACAGTGTAATAGGTGCTCAATAATATAAAAAAATAAATGAATTTCAACTCACTCCTGATTTCTTGCTTATTGGACATCACCAATCTTTCCCTGTCATTCTTTCCCTTGAGTCTCCGTCACCTACTAGGCTAGTATCATCACTGCCTTCCTCCCTGAGATAAAAAGGTAATTTAAAAACAAAATACAGAAAAAGGGAGAAAGAAGAAACTAGTAGAAAATTAAGCATAAAGCTATTCAAGTCAGCATTATCATCTTTATACATTGCAGTTGATGACTGGACACTCTATAGATCTTACAACTTGCGTTTTAATTTGGGGCACACTTTTATAGCATCTACCATGGTAAGGACAGAACAGGATTTTAACGGCCGAGGGCAGTTTGCACATTAGTTTGCAAAATTGCCAATTTCTGATTATATTACAGGGAAACAGAAAAGACTGAAACATATTTGCAATGAGTCAAATATAGATTTTATTTTTAAAAACATACTTTGATTAATTTCAGGTACCTAATTATCTCCTCAATTTAACAACTATGTCTGTTTCAATGACAGCTTTTTAAAAATATTTGACTCCAATAAACCTCCCCTAAAAACTTGTTATGCTATTAATTTGATAATATTTTTTAATGGAATGTTCATTTGGTAAAGAAAGCCCTGTACATATCGTAAAAAGTTGATCCCTTCAAAAATGAAATACAAAATAATACTTGACTATCCCTGTAGTCGAGTATACTTGACTAAAAATGGCTATGCTGAGTATCCACCGCACCATCTACTCTGATGGCCTTGGATGCCTGTCTGAGGCTGGGGATTGGATACAAAGCCCCATGGCCATGTGAGCTCCAGCTATGCGGTCCATCCTCAGTGCAATGCAAGCTCATACAAAAATAAAACTTGAAGGGGATCCCTGGGTGGTGCAGCGGTTTGGCGCCTGCCTTTAGCCCAGGGCGAGATCCTGGAGACCCGGGATCGAATCCCACGTCAGGCTCCCGGTGCTTGGAGCCTGCTTCTCCCTCTGCCTGTGTCTCTGCCTCTCTCTCTCTCTGTATGACTATCGTAAATAAATTTTAAAAAAATTAAAAAAAATAAAATAAAACTTGAGAAACTCAGGGTTTTGCCATTGCCTTCATGTTTTTGATAGTGATGACAAAGATGGGTGTAACGTGTAGATACGTCTTCTTTTCCTTAAATGATCGCTTATTCAACAGCAACAGAAGATGAAAAAGGAAGAGTGACAAAGAACAAATGGATTTCCCCATAATTAAGGTATAGTATGTGAAATGTTGGCCCTAGAGTCAGAAGGTCTAGATTCTCAGCCTATTTTGTCAGTGACGGGTCTGTTCAAGGCCCCATATCTATATTAATACACTGAGAAGCGGGGTCCAATATTGGTACTCAATCAATTTACAAAGGTAAAGAGCATAGCTGTGGACCAAGTTTTGGACTTGTTGGAAATTCAAGCCAGCAAGCACTTTTCCAATGGATGTTCTATGCCAGGCCAGTAGTACCATATTTTCCCTGGGGAGTGGACTTAAAATACATGCTTACGTGTATGCACACACAGGCACACACAGTAGTGACCGCCCACAGGAGGGTTATGAACGTAGAGACACTTTCGATTGGAAATACAATATCACATAGAAGAAAAGAAATGGAGATGTTTTGGACTCAGATCTCAGTGCCACCCTTTGCCCTATGTGATTGTGGGTGAGTCCTTTAGTCTCCTTGACCGGCAGTGTCTGCATCCGAAGATTGGCAGTTCAGACCTGTGCATCATGCGGTAGTGACAGAGCCTAAGATGATCTATTTAAATAGACCATCAAATGGGTCCAGGCACACACACTAGGTGCTCAGGGAAGGTCGGCTGTGATCGCCATGACCACACTGATGACGGTGGGGACAAAAGGGGCCAGTTGTAGCGTTCCATAAATAGGTTTCACAGGACAATAGGAAATTTCAGCTCAGAAGCTGTAAGTCAGGGGCCTGAAGGCTATGAGTCACCACTTTGCTTCGTGCCTGTCAGTTCATTTTTGAGAATCCACAGAAATAGAAATGTTCTATCAGACCAACTTGGATTGCCATCTGGCCCACACATTTTCCTGGCACGGCCCGAAGGCCAGCACTGCTATTCTCCCCTCCAAGCAAAACCCCAAGTTTAGCAGAACAAAATCTGGTGCTGAAATGCATCAAGCACAGCATCGGTTAATTATCACGATTAGCATATTAGTAGTAGCTCTGGGGCAATTAATATGAATAATAATTGAATCTGGGCTATAGTAGTTAAAATAAGTACTAGTTATGTTAATATAAACTGCTAGTAAACTATTTAACAGACCAGCAACACCGACAGGGAATATTTTACACTGTTTAAATGGCTTTTACATTCATTAGCTTGTTGAGTCTTCTTTTGGTTATATTATTATCCTTAGTGTCTCTTTAGGGAAACTGAGGTTTCAGGCAATTGAGACTTAGCCCAGGTGACAAGCTGATATGCTAAAGTCTGGAATTAGAAAGTCTGTCTTCTGGCTACTTGTGTAGCAAGGCCTGGAGATTGAGAGAGGAAAAATAAATTCATGAAATAAAAAGCATTGCTTGGCTCAACCACTGGTACCCCAGGATGCCAGGGCAGGAGAGAGCTCAGTGTTCATCAAATGCAACTTTCTCCTACAAATGAGGAAAATGACTTACCTCCAATGAATAATCTATGATACAGATTCCAAATTGATTTTTTTTATTTCAGTTCCTTTATGAGGTCCCAGTCTTAAATTCTGAAAGTGATCTTTTTAAAAATTTCTGTGAGCTGAAAATCAAATAATTAAATTTGTTAACGGTGCATATTAACTTATCAATTTAGCTCTAAACCACGGTCAAATGCTGCATTTCCAAAAATGTGTCCTATTGAACTCTAATTCAGTAACGTAATATTAACTATTGTGGAAAAAGAGGATTTCTCGTGGTCAATTACATTGACATATTCTGGGTTAAAACATGAATTAAACAGATACATTTTTATTGCTGACCTTTTTGTTTTTTTACCTTAAATATGCAAATAGTGTGCTGTGTTCCCATCCATCTTTGACCGTGAAATCCTTTGCATTCAGAAAATCTCTTGAGACTCATATCCAAAAGATCAGTTTGGGACACTTTGGCGCAGTGGCATTTTTTGCCGGGTTTTGGTGCATTTGCTTTGTAGCAGTTATTCCTGATATATAAAAGTCTGCTGGGTTTACTTCTCAGTCTCTGGCCAACTTATAGAGGGTTGAAGTCCCTAAAAATATGAACTGCAGATATAAGGGAAGCCTTCCCAATCTTATTTCATTCTAACTTCAATGACTTTCCAGGTAATTAAATCCACTCTATATGTACAAGTTCCAAACCGTATTGGTGGCCCTAAACCTCCTCATCAGTGACACTCGTCTTCCAGGGCTGTGTACCGAGTGCCTATGATGTGCCAGTTTTCACACACTTGCTTGTTATTTTAGGCTCCTACTTCTGGATTGGGGCTTCCTGTGGTGAGGCACCTGAGAAGAAAACATGCACAGAAGGGTGAGTATTTATAGGTTTGGGGCTCTGAATTAGACAGTTGCACTTGCACAGATAATCACTAACAATAGTCGTAATCCCTGAGTGTGATCACATTAAATGAGAAGTGACCTCAGCCGTTCTTTCCAGGTGGCCTCGATAATAGACCTACCAGAAAAGAGAAAAGACAAACCAACAATGAGGGCCTTTGGTATGAACAGAACTTTTTATAATAAAGAATATTAAGAATAACAGGAAAGAAATGAGAAAAGTACAGGATATTAGGCCCACAGCTTGGTAATGTTTGCTGTTCTCAGAGACACATTTGTTTTACTATTAACCCTTCAAATTCATAGGCTTTGAAATTGAGGAGTTCCTTCTGATTTAAAACTTGACTTCAGCTGTGTGTGTCCTAGAAATGTGATGGTTTCTCTGTTTGCTTTCTTATAATTTTTTCAGGAAAAAAAGTTGACTTTGAACATTCCATAAGAATAAAGAGTTATAGGGTGGTTTGGGGTATGTGGTCATTCTGACTTAAAATACTAAACATTTCAATTTGTTTTAAATATCCAATTCAGCATAGAAGCTCCTTGTTTGCTCCATTTTGAAAACAAAGACAAAAACAAAACAAAACAAAACAAAACAAAAACCAGCCAAAGTACTAAGTTTGAAAAAGTGTCCAATGAAACTGTAACTTTCTTTCTCAAAGACCTACACATATGGATTTTTTACTTTGCACTTAAGACCACATTTTTAAAGGCTGTTACTCCCCTAGCCTTGTCTTTGAATATGTAAAACTCTGCATGCATCTAATAGGTCCTTCAATTGTCCACTTGCACCTTCAAATTATGGGACAAGTGGCCAATTGGGCCTGCAATTGGCTAATTGCACTGACAATTAGCCAATTGTGGGTATAATTAGCTGCATGTAGAATTAATCATATGCACAGAGTGGGCGGCCACTCTTTGAAAACATAGAACTAAATGTGTTCTAGATGCACATCTGTACCCAGGCACAAAGGGACACAGGCGAGGATCCTTGATGAATCACTCTTAAGAGAATCATTAAAACAAATTTGGTGCTTGGTTACAAAGACCCCATGATTAAACCCTGAACATCCAGTCTACTTGCTTTCTCTACCAGGAGCTCAGCGTGGACAAGGCACCTTCTTAGGTTCCAGCATTAAAAACTGATTCTTCCAACTGAAGGCTTTTGCAACAGGGTATCCCGTCTGCTGCTACCCTTACTTTAGATTTTTAAACTAAATCTTTGGGTTTATGATACAGTTGGTGAGTTGCCTCAGGCAGACTCTGTAACTAGAGTCCTCAGTCAGGAACCTGACTCCTTTTGGTCCACAGTGTAAAATGTTATCATCTTCTTTATCTCTAACACCCAAGCTTCCCAAGCTGGTGTGTGCATATTCCTAAAAATAATTTTAAATTCTAAACTAAACAACAGAAAATTTTGAAAGCGGTTAAAGTCGTGCTGATCAAAATCCTGTCGGTTCATTTATTTACTTCCCTATAACCCCATTTCCTCGTCTTTAAGGACAAACTAATATGGATCAATGATAACTACTTCAGAGGTGTTTTGTTTTGTTTTGGAATTAAATATGGTCATTGAGAATTATATAATGAAAAAGAGAACATGAGAGAGAGAAAGAGAGAGAGAGAAGAAGAAGAAAGAGAAAGAGAGTGAGATGCTAGAATCCAACACTCAATAAATCAAGATACTAACATATGAAAACCTCTGAGGTTTCCTGCTATAAAGAATTTTTCCTTTATCTCAGCATTTTACCAAACAAACTTGACCAAAGGCCAGTCTTTTCAGGTAATACCTGTTACTTGGTGATGGGAAATGCCACTCTAGATCGAATAGCCAGTTGATTATCAAACAAAATTCAGGGATTTTGGCTACTTCCATCCCTCCTCATGAGCCTCAAACTTCACTTCAACTCTCATCTTCCACTTAGGGAAGAACCTTTCAGAAATCCATCAGTACTGCAGGCAGATCCATCCACTGAGCTTTCCCACACTGCTGCCCCTCCCCAATGTTTCAAATAACCACCACCCATATGAAACAAAGGCCATGTGAAATGGACAGGGGCATTCCCAATGTTAGAGATGTTGAAGGAGTAAGAACCATGAATGATAGAACACTTCCTAAACATGCATATATGCTTTCTGATAATGAGGGAGACATTTGTTTTCTTCCTAGTTTCTAAATGCTGTTAGATTTTAAAACACATGCTTGTTTAACTACAGAAATTCCATACATGTCATATCTATGTCTAGGAAGGAAGGAAGAAAAGAAGGGAGTAGAGAGAGCACTTACCCTTGCGTCAGATAGTTTTACAGGTGTTACCTTATTTTCTCCTCAAAATAATAATATCAAATATGAATAATAACTGTCTCATTTTGGGGGTGAGACTACTGAGCCTCGGGGAAGTTAAATGATTTTCCTAAGGTTATACAGTAGCAAGCAAAAGGTTTCAGATTCCCAAACACACATCTCCAAATCTTCTTTGGAACAAATTCTTTAAATATAAACCATGTAGTCATAGACATATGAGAAAATATCATGATCATTATATTTCATGTTCAAATGCATGTGAAACAGTCATTCAAGTGTGTGTGTCTGAACACAAACATCTGTATTTGTGATCTTCTACATAAATACTCATTTTTATTAAGAAATTCTATGAATGGTAATCTGATGCTAAGAGAAGTAAACTTTGCCTTGTCTTCTAATTGAACTGAGCCTAAATTCTGGATTTACAGATCAATGTTTTCATTCCTAAAAGACCTCAGTGTTAGTCAAGGCCAGAATCTCTATGCCACTGCAGATCCCCAACAATAGTGTAGAAGAAAGGACTCATTCATTGAACATGCTCTTCTAGTTAGAATAAACAGACACATCTCACCCACAAGCAAGGTGATCTAATGCTTCCCATTATATATTTCTTAGTGGTTTACAAAGCACTCTTGTAGATATGGATAAATTCATTATCCAAAATCCAACGAAGACATCACTGTTGTCATTAATTATAATCCAGTAACCAGGTCCCACGAGTCATCCAATATTGGAATTCAAAGAACCTTTAATGTCAGTGTCCTGGTTCCCTATGGCAGCCAGAGCTTGACCTTCCTTATCTGTAGATCACTCATCTTGAGGCCACAATTCACCACAGCACAGCCAGGAAACCAAAAGAGTTTCTTAGGAGACTGAAAGACTTAGTCCTGCACACTGGTCTCCATTCAGTACCAATAAATATGATAAGAATCACTTGGTTTTAAGTTTACTTAAAAGGGTATATATGACGAAGTGTCTCATCAAAGTGTTATTACTTACAGAATTGGCTGTTAAGAGGCCAAACAGAAAGAGAAAGAAGAAAAAAATGTTTAAAGAAATTAATAAACATAAGAAAGATGAATCATGGCATTCTGGGGGCATGGGTGTAAGGACAAATAGTCCCACAGATCTCAAGGTCACAATTGCTTACTCAAGTGGTAGTACTGTATACAAAATGAAGGTTGGGGAATAATTAAATAGTTCTGAATATGCACTAGAAAATTTTACTCCCATGTTTACAATAAAGCAAACAAACAAAACATTGAGACAATAGAAACAAATTTGCCTTTGGAGGGAGAAAGGGAAGGAAAGCAACCCCCCTTTCTATGAAGGCTGAGAGATCCTACAGGTTATTTCCTCCAGTTACCATTAAAAACCTTTCACATCTGTTTTATCTTGCTTTTATTAATGGAGAGATGAGGTTTAAGGGCAACTCTCATACTTAAAGTCACACTTTGAGTTTCAAACTCAGGGAGGATTTATTCCAAAGCCCATACTGTGAGCTGACTGGACCATCTTTGTATGGGACTCTTCATTTCCTGCACAAGTAAAGTAAGTTGAGGTTCTGGTATTAGAGATATTGGTGATGAAGATAGGAACCTATTAACTGTGTGCACACAGTCACCTGCAGAACCAGTCGCACACCCAGGGCCCTTTCTTCACTGCCCATGTGGCTGCAACCCCCTTCCCCCTAGTGCCTAAAGAGAGGTCATAAGCTGGCGTTTACACCCTGACCACCTAACTGAGTATCTGTAGCAGGCAGACCCAGAGCATTAACGAAAGGTTGCTTTTTTGTATTTATAAAGAATAACAGCTACATGCCACTAATGCAGTGTCATTTCATTTAATGACATCCAGCTCTGAGTGATTTAATTATTCTTTTAGTCACTGAAACATTCATCATAGTTTTCCAGCGGCTCCAAAAGAGCCCACTTGCCTCTTGAATCCATTAACATAGAGACTGCGAGCTGGCCTCCCCTTGGAAATCCATTCAGTTGTGAATCTGGGGGAAAAGGACTGATACCTTTCAAAGAGTCATTTATGGTTTTGTCATGGATTTTTAAAAGGTTTATTATGTTGCTACTGTGGGTCCTACTATGTTCCAGGTTCTTGCATTGGGCTATTCTACTTAAATGTTTTCATCAATTATCACGAAAACCAAGAAGGCAGGAAGCTTTATTCCCATTCTACAGGTGAGAAAACAAAGTGCCAGAGACTTCAAGTGAGTTCACCAAGGCCACACATCTAGCTAGGATCTGAACATGGGTTTGCCCAAAACTTTTACCAGGGACATAAGAGGTGTAGATAATTGTAAGAACCCTGATAATAGTTGCTAATGGAACCGTGTATACCAGGCATTTCACATTCATTATTTGTATGAATCCTTCAAATAACCTAGCAAGTTTGACTTCCTTAATATCAAATAAATAACCAGACCCAGGGAAGTTGAGTGATGTGCTAAGGATAGCAAAGAAAAAGTACAGAACCAGGGCTCATTTTGGGGTCTAACTTCAAAGTAATTGTAAATTCCTCATGCTGTGCATTGACATTAATAGAATTGGGATCAAATTCTTCACTGGTGATTCTAGAGATTAGTCAGTGCGCAAAGATTACCCCCTTTATTTGGCAAAAGGGCTTGATCCTTAGT